AATCGAAAACTTGTCATGCACTTCGTCCTTCGAAGGGGACACTAGATGAATGGTTGCGTTCTATTCACGGAAGCACTTGGCATAGCTTTAGCCCCTGATGTGACCTCTAAATTACACAGATGGCATTACATCTCAAGCAATGTTATTCTTTGATCATGATATCATTGTATTATCGACAAGGAAGAGAATTTCCACAGATAATCAAAAATCTAATTTTTTTTTGAATTTTTATGGTAAAGCCCGAAATAAGACACATGGTTGAAGACGTAAAACAACGGCCTTCGATGCATCCGAATACGAATGACGATCACTGGCCACTGTTGTGACGGATCTGTCGGAAAGATGATTATCTGAAATGGAGGGTTAAAATTTATCGGAATGTACGGATGCCTTCTATTATTATTAATGTGAAATTGGCAAGAAAAAATTAAATGATATAATCAAAAGTCAAAGATTTTCCATACCTGTTCCACAATACTCTCGAAGAGTGCTGTCGTAATTACTCACGGTCAAAGACAGTAGGCGGCTCTCTCTATCGAAGGTTGCTTACAAATAGACTGATAGTCGGTATGGCTCCTTCTAGCATATGTCAGTAACAAATTGCTATCGAAACGAATAAAGAAATCACACAAGGATTGGTTGCGGCTTTTCGTTTGTTTTTAGTGTTTTCTCTATTTTTGGCATTTTCTACAAAAAAAGGCCTCATTTACCTCTTTACGAGCCGTCATATCAAGCAAGTCGAATTCGCTATTATTCATGTAGCTCGACAAATCGCCTTTATCAGTAATCAGTTTTAGATCCATTTCTTTTAAATCGTGCGACCAGGAAGCAAATCGCAATTCACATTCCTTAAAGTATTTAAAAAAAAAAAAAAACATTGTTCCGGTGTCTCCGTCAATTCCAACTGTAAGAAATTTGTCACTACTTGGACATATGCAGATCAAGGTCAAGTGGTAAACATGGATTCGGTTTTTATGCATTTTTTGCAGCTATGCAATGCAGAAAACGCATATTGACGAGGGGTTGCCTTTGTGCGTGTCTGTGTGTCCGTGCGTGCGTCTGTCACGGTTTTTCATCTCAAGACCTACAAAAGCTACAGGGCTGAAACTT